ATGTAAATGCGCATAATATAAAAATACATACATACATATATATATATATATATATATATATTAAAATCCTAATTTTAAATGATGAATACAAACTTGAAAAAAATATATTTTTCTTTTGTTTTTAAATATATGCAAAAATCATCATTTTAAATTACACAAATAAAACAATACATATATTTTCAGAAAGACGTAAAAAACATGATTTAAAATGAAAAATATAAACTGGCATAAATATATATTACAACAATACAGATTTACTGTATATAATATAAAATATTTTTTCTTTCAAAAATATGCTAAAAATGCAAAACATAATTTTAAATGACAAATACAAACTTGTATAAAAAAAATATATATATATTTTTTCGAAAATGTAAAATCTAACTTTAAATGAAAAACTATAAACGTATATAAAATGTTGGCAAGTAAAAAATGACTAGGTCAGCAGTAAAAAAATCCTTATTGTTGAGCCTTGAGTTCCTATCTCTCTCTCTCTCTCTCTCTCTCTTTTTGTATTTTGGTTACGTATCACCATTTTAAAACGGTTTCTCTCCAAACCTGTGTATAAGACATGTGATGTGTGATGGATGTATTCCCTGGGACTGCATACTTGAAACTGAAGAACTCTGATTAAAAAGACATTTACTGATCGTCCATCGTCAGCACAGGATCCGCTCCAAATTCAGCGAAGTGAGTGAAGCCAAGAAAATAATCATTTCAGACGAGCTAAATGAAAGAGTGATGCTGGGAAGTGTTTATGTCTGAGTCATCACGGATGAACAGCCACAGGAAACTTCTCAGACAGGTACAAAAAGAGCCATGAAACATGAGGTTATTGTTTCAAACCTCTACTAAAGCTGACTTCTTACCAGTTGATGAAGGATATTTCAATTTCATAAACAACACAAGATAATATTTCATAATTTTGTGCTAATATGATTGCTTCAACAGAATAACGCTTTTCAGCAGGGGTGATATCAGGATATTGGTCTCATTATCACGTTTCCTCTCCCATGGCTAATGTACTTCTGATACAGTGTGTGCCAGTAATTACAGGCTCTTCAGCACTGAGACGACTGTCCCACAGCAGAAACATTTAAATCCAGCATAATCACAGGCTCTTTTAACTCGCTCGGATGAATTGCTAATTCACAAATTCACTTCACAGCTGTTCATGATGGTATGAGGTGGAGAGGAGAACTTCAGAAGTTCACATTAAAACAAAGAGAGATCTGCTGCATTCCTTAAAGCTTCAGGTTGAAGATCTGGTATGGGTCACTACTGATTACAAACTGATAAAACGCTGGTCACCCCTCTACTTAAAGTGACAGCTCATCCAGAAATGAAAATTCAGTCATCATTACCTCAACCTGATGCCATTCCAAACCTGTTTGATTTACTTTCTTCTGCGAAACACAAAAGAAGATATTTTTAAGAATGTTTCAACTGTTTTTGTGGTTTTGGACCCCACAGATTTTCATTGCACAGACAAAAAAATAGCACCGACTGAAATAACCTTCAAAATAACGTCTTGACTTTCATTAAATGGCCACAAAAAAGCACATGCATTTTTCAAAATATCTTTGGTGTTTTGCAGAAGCAAAAAAAAAAAATAAAAATACATATTTCGTTTGAAATATCCCTTTAACCCTGTTCTATGGAAGGCTTGTTTCCACAATCAGATATGAAAGAGAATAAAAAACGGAATAGAAAAGGTAATTGTGACTTTTTACACAGAAGAAGATTCAGAATTGCGAGATATAAACAACAAGAAATAAGAATTGTAAATAAGAATTGTTACTTTTTCTTGCAATTCCAAGTTTACATCTTGAATTCAGTTTTTTTTTTGCCACAGAATAAAAAAATTAAAAAAGGTCACTGCAAGTTTAAATCTCAAAATTATCACTTTTCTTCTCAGAATTGTGAGTTTATATCTTGCAAATTTCAGATTTTTTTCTCAGAATTGTGATTTGTCCAAATGATGAGATATAAATGCAGAATTGTGAGAAAAAAGCCATAAAAAGTTAAGTTAAGCAAATACCTTTAAACCAGGGGCATTATGGTCATTCTGACTCTTATGCCCCATTCACACGGGGCGTCAGCGTTAATGCTTGACGGAGGGCGTTTCTGAAGCTTGGTGCTGATGGGACCATCATAGTGACAACAGCCAATCACATTAGTCTTCTGGTGTTGCGTGAACGCGATTGGCTAGCGCTAGGGTATTTGCATAAGGCGATCTGATTGGCTGACGCCTGCATTGGCGCTTGAAAAGTTGAAAAGTTTTCAACTTCTGCTGCGAGCAACGGACCCAACGCGACGCGATGGACCCACAATTCATTTCGACAACGCTTGACGTCACTCCATTCGAAGTAAACGAGAGGCGTTGACGCTGATGCCCCGTGTGAATGGGGCGTAACCAACCAGACTGCGAGGTTCTGCCCAATATATGATCATAACCAATAACAGAATTAAAAACAACATAAACCTTTGCTAAAAAATAATGCAATTACTGCAATTTAAACAACAATACTGGCAAAGAATTGCTAGATGCAGTTTTACATTTAAGTAAGTAAATAAATAAATAAATAAATATTACGGGTGTAACGGTACACAAATATGACGTTCAGTACAAATTTACAAATAAGACACACTTTATATTTCACCACCACCAAGTGAATTATATGGTTTGGAACAACTGCATATAAGGATTTATTTCTCATCTGACTGTTGGTTCCACCATGTGTTTGGATACAGTCGGCCTAAACCCTGCTGAGCTTAAGCAATGTTGCTCGAACTCACAGAACACCCAGCGATTTTAATAAAAACACATTACATTTGTGTAAAACACTATTTAATGGCACAATCAAAATGTCTAAAGGCGGTTACAGTTTCACCACATTTATGTGATGACTTTGCTGCTCACTGTGCCGACCTCCCAAAAAATCTAATCACGCTGTTGTTTGCCTATAAAAGCAGCGACCTCTGAATTCCCAGTGTCAAATGCCTAGGGATATCAGCCGTCATATCGCCACCAGAAAAACACAAATGCAATCATTTGCTATTTCCTGTTTGCTAAGCCTTAAATCATCCGAGCAACGGGTCGCCCTCGCTTCGGGCCTCTGCCGGTGCCATGCGTCCTGCTGAAGTCATGATGCTGTTTGAAGCAAGAGCTCCGCTTTAAATACAGTCCCTTTGCATTTTACCTTTGAGACCTACTTACTTGAAATTGTCATCTTCCACGAACTTCTGAAGCTCCTCGATGTAACGAACAGACATCAAGTACTTCTGCACATGCGGGAGGGTCACGAGGTGATCTGTGAGGAGGATGTCGAGGGTCAGACGTGCATGTACAGGTGCATCTCAATAAATTAGAATGTCGTGGAAAAGTTCATTTTAAATTGTATATATACACGTGGATCTGAAATCTCCCTATAGATGTCACGACTAAATATCCTGCGAAGCTGACTGAGAGCTAATGAACTGACCGTATGTGCAGGACATCTGGAGGTCAGAGATCACCCGCAGGATATTGTTCATCTGATTGGTTCTCTGCTCGGTCTCAATGATGCTGTCAGACGCAGGATAGGCAGAGTCTATGTAAATCATGTCCAGCAGGTAGATCCCTGTGAATGAGAAATGGAAGAGAGACGGACTGTAAGCATTAATGTTATTTATGGATTCACTGATATGGACATTTAGGTTTACATGATAATAATGATAATAATAATAGCAATATATATATGTGACCCTGGACCACAAAACCAGTCAGAAGGCTCAATTTTTTGAAATTGAGATTTATACATCTTATTTATTTATACAAGCTGAATAAATAAGCTTTCCATTGATGTATGGTTTGTTATGTATAAATGTGAAATTATTTAAATAAATTAATTTACATAAAATAAATAAATTTAACAATTTGTTTGAAATTATTTATAAATAAATGAATGTATTTAAATAAATGAATAAATACATTTATTTAAATAATTTATTTGAAAGTATTTAATTTAATCTACCGTATATAATTTCAATTAATGTGTTTCAGTACTTAGAGCACTACTACATGTTGATATCTGTACAGACATCTGATAATACAGCAGAACTACTCTATTAACTTGCGATAAATTATTCTAAGTCTTATAAAGAGATTGAGATAAAGCACCTCCACACACAGTAACGGTGTATTACCTCAGTCAAGCTGTGATACACATGATACGTACTGATTAACAAGATCCAGATATGTACTGCAGGAACAAGTGGACACTATTGGCCTTAATTGATCCCAGAATGCATCTTGATTTAGAGGCGAGGCAGAAATTACTCATCTGCATGGCATTTACAATTAGATCTTTTCTAATCTTCTATTTGATTTCTGCAGGTTGGTCAAAGAGTAAAAGTATCTGATGAGACAAGAATCGCACATGTGAAGATCTGAGGCAGTCATGCTTGGGTCGTAAATAACATGACCCAAGTGTATCTTCATATCAGGGTGTTTGTGATGAAGACATACTACTACAGTACACTACATGTTCATACTCCTGCAGTATACATGTACGGCACACACACACACTTCAGTATGAATTGAACACACTGATTTCTTAAAGAAACACTCCAAACAAAAAATGTAAAATCTGTCGTCATGTACTGACCCTTCATGTTGTTCCAAACCTGTATGGCTTTTTTTCTTGTGTGAAACACAAAATTAGATCTTAGACAAATTCTGAGCTGGATGCATATCAACCCCCAAAAAAGCAACATAAAAGCAGTTTGGGAAAACGAATCATCCACCATCTACTTTTTGTTGCATGCAAACGAGCATCTCAAACATATAGGAGCCCATTTCTGACACATGAGAAAAAAATTTATTAAATCATGTAAATCATTATTACATTGAAAAAATGGTGTAGAAACAATCTCACTCTGAACTGCTAGTAAATTTCACAAATTATAATGACAAAGAAACATCAAGTAACACAATGAATGAAACAATTTTTTTAAGTAGAAAACTGAAATAGTATTTTCTTGTAAAATGTACTCCAATAACTTTGTTTTAATCACTACTTTGATAAAACATTATTTTTTACAGTGTATGACAAAAATAGTTGAAATTAGTGATAATTATGAGATTAACGTAGACATGATTAAATAAAAAGCTATAAATAAGACATAAAAAGTCATTATTATGACATTATGTTTTAAGTGGAAATTTTTATAATTATGATATACTAATATACTAACCCTAATTTATGTCATAATTATGTCTTTTTAATCTCCTAATTTCGATTATTTAATAATTTCAATTTCTTAATCTCCTAATTTCTATTTATTTAATAATTTTTACTTGTGTCAATTTCAAATGGCCATAATGACTTTTTGTCTCATAATTTTTAGCTTTTTATGTAATAATTATGACTTTTTAATCTCCTAATTTTGATTATTTTCATAATTTCAATTTTTTCATCTCCTAAACTTTATTTCATTATTTTGAGTTATGTCAATTTCAACAGTCATAATTATGACTTAGTATTTCATAATTGCAACTTTTTATCTTATAATTATGATCTACAAAAGCATGTTTTTAGGACATTATGTCTATAGTATCTACAGTAATTCTATGTTTTCATGGAAAATAATACAAGACATGTACAGTAGGGTGAGTAAATAATGATAAAATGTTCATTTTTGTTTGAATGACTCCTTTAACTAAATTAACTTCTATGATGAACTAAAACTATTAAACCCGAAAGACAAACTACTGAGAGTTAATGAGAAGCACTGCAGTGACTGCAGAAGTTCAGCTGTGGAAAGAATGAAAAATCGGTTTCCACCCGAACAGCTGTGGTCTCTGGAGAGTGAGAGCAGATGTTTGAGGCATCACAAAGCATGTGGCAGGAGATGGCATGGCCTCCTGCAAACCATTAGATGGGTTTCAGTAATGCACACACACACAAGGTTGAGACCCTGCTCCGCAGTGGTGTTTCTTATGCCAGCGTACACAGCTTTGTTCAGATAAAAAGGAACCAACCAACGAACCAGCCAATGAAACAACCAATGAACCAACCGACCAACAAATGAACCAAAGAACCAACCAGCCAATGAACCAACCAAAAAACAAATGAACCAAAAAACCAACCAACGAATGAACCAAAGAACCAACCAGCCAATAAACCAACCAAGAAATGAACCAAAGAACCAAACAACAAATGCACCAACAAATGAACCAAAGAACCAATCAACGAACCAACCAACAAATGAACCAATGAACCAACCAGCCAACAAACTAATGAACTAACCAACCAACCAAAGAACCATCTAATGAACCAATGAACGAATCAACCAACCAACCACGAACGAACGAACCAACCTACCTACCTAAAATCTATCTAGATTATACCTAAATATATCTAATTATATATATTTTAGATTACTAATTTTCTCAGTTATCAGGAGTCGCAAAGCTTAATTTTGGACCTGCATTTGTGAATAACCTTTATGTAAATATTATGTCTAGGAACAGTAAAGAGTTTTCTTTGGACATTCTTAGATGAGATTAAACATAAGGAAAGTTTATCGTCTCTACTGATTCACGCAAAAGGGAAAAAGTGGCTGGTATTCTAGCAAATAAATGTTTCAATGAAAACCACATGGCTGGATTCATACTGAGAGAGGAAGTCCTCACAATCTAATAAAAGCATAAATCATAATGTATAAAACAAGGCAAAAATCCTGCTCGTAACTGTGTAGTCAAACGGTGGTGCCCTGCTAGTGATTAGAAGAGCATTATTTGAGCAGATGACCGGGAGGGTTCGTTTAATACGTCAGCTTATTTATGGTGCTCTGGATAAACTGCTCCAGGCTGCTTGTCCTCACCAAAACAGATGGAGATGTTCATCTAAATAATCATGTGTTTTTGTGCTGTAAACAAAACACATATTGAAATAAATGTCCCATAGCAGCGGCACAGCATGACGGATTCTATTAAATCATGTGTTCATTTAAGCCAGAGACCACAAGAGGTGATGTGTTACCATGAATAAAATTATAATCACAGACATAAACAACAGTCACATTAGCCAGAGTAAAGACATACCTTTAATGAATGATTAAAAGACAGACAGACAGACAGACAGACAGATAGACAGATAGATAGATAGATAGATAGATAGATAGATAGATAGAGCCACATTTTATTTATAATATCTGCTTTAAGTGAAGCATATTTTAAGCTAGTCCAAATACAGCAATAACACGTCAGAAACTTAATTGTAGAAGATCAGCTGTGAACACAACATCTCCACACAGTGCTGTACGACCAGCCTTGACACAATCTGACTCACTCTATGGCTTCATCCACATGATGACATCAGCACTCAACGCGACAATCAACATCTCTGCCATTGTATTACCAGAGCCAGTCTGTTTCCAAGCACAAAGTCATGAAAATCTTGCAACACAGTTTCCTATTTCCTTTTTCTTTCAGGGTGCTATCAGCAGGTTTCGTGAGATTCACCTGAACGCTTGAGCTAAATATAAAGACGGAAACTCAGTTTGACAGCATCGGATGAAGGTTGTGGGAAGGTATAGACATGTTGCACAAGCGATTACAAACATCAAAATTGGAGTTTACTGCTTGCCTTCTGCCTGGGGTGTGTGTTTTGTTTAAGGTCATCTTTTGTTTTTCCAAGAAAACCTGATGAAGGACTCACTGATGAGATGTTCAGACTAAACAGGATCAGGGTAAAGCTCTCCTGTGCCCTTAAAAGGCAGCAGTGTGGCATCTTACATTACAGTGTCTCAAAGCACATAGTGAAAACCTGACGGATCGAACAGTACATCATCGTTCCTTCCTTCTATTGCAACATTCACCTTGGACAGCACAGCTCTGCATCATGTGTTGTTCTTGTTACACAATCAGAGATGTTTGCCCAAAGAGACTGTGAAACGTGCTGAAGCAAAGTTCACAAAGTTGTGATTTGCTTCCAAGGCTGATCGTCCAACACAAACCAGGTCTTTGCACATGCAACGAGCTCTGGTTTTGTTTCTCAGCTGTGAGAAACTGTCTTTTGTCTGATGTGTTTTATAGCTACACGTCTGCACAAGTTACTATCTTGGACAAAAATTATGTCCTTCAAGTCTGGCTTGGATTGTTCCTCTTTACTCTGAGCATAATAATATACTCACTGACTATTTGTGACGTTTAATCATACATGCATATGACAAATAAATAAAATATCAAACTGTTAATTGCAATTATTCATATGACAATTAATCATCAACAAAAATTCAGTCCTTCAAACCAACACTGAAAACCACTGAAATACATTGATCACTGATAGAAAAGGTTTTGATGATCTATATGCACTGAAGCATCTTTAAACATGAACATTAGCACAGGAAACGCAGTATGGAAGAGCTGGACAAAACTGCTGCCAGGCAATGAGCTCATACACACAAACTAGTGTCACTAACTGAAAATAGCAACACTACTAACTTACTCAAAATGAAATATTTTTTATAATTTTGTTCAGTGTATATATATATAAATATTTTTTAATAATATAGTAATCCTCATTGTACTGTACTAGATAAATACTGCTCTGAGTGTAAACATGAAATATACACC